GCTATAACACTTCAATTTGTAGGGCGTATATCAAGAACAAATATTGAAGAAGGAAATGTTGCTACTGTTATTGCTGGTGAATATGAGTTTAAAATTGAGTCGCAACAATTGTACAAACAGGACACTAAAGACTGGTCCATAGTTTTACCTGATTTACACAGAGCTAAGATCCAAAAAACTGAAGACGAACAAGATTTTTTTGATTCATTTGAAGATTTAACAGAGCCGGAATCTATTACTCAAATCACTTCAGATGAACCAATTATTTTGGAAGACGATGATTTAAAACCATTTTTTCATGCGAAACTTTATAACATATCGCCCTCTACAATTAATGCAACAGCAAATACTTTGTATAATGTGAATAGCCTTATTAATTTACATGAGCAGATTGATTTTTCAGGAACTGACGCTTTAAAGAATCCTATTATCCGCCACCACCACGTCAGTAATATCAACGATGTCGCTATTTATGTTGTTTCGGAGTTAAAGCAACCAAATTGGTATATAGGAAGTGATGCACTTAGTGATATAAAAAATGAATTATTCGTTATCTACTTCGATAAAGATAATTCGATTCTTTTTGTATGTTCCTCTATTAAAGATAATGAGTTATATGAACATATAGCACTGCAATATCTTACAGATAATGTTGTACATGAAATGATTCCACTTCCTTGGCTAAAACGAGCTATGGCTGGTTGGCGAAACACTAAGATGTTTAATGTTGGTATGAAAAGCCGAAAAGCAAAGGGAAACAGTGAATCTTACAAACAACTATTGGGCTCTCTAGCTCAGAAAGGCGTACTTCCAACTGATAAATACACATATACTCGTGGACACTCCTTTGGTGGCGCGTATGATAGTGTATTAAGGAAGGATGTTTTGCTTGGCGTTAGCACGAGTTCAAAAGTTTGGTCACTTGAAGATAATAAAATAAAAGCCTTAGTAGAATGGTGTAAAGGGGTAGCTAGAAAGGTAGGAGATTCAGAAATGGATAATTTTGATTCACCTTTATCTGACCTTGATTGTGGTAAAGTAGTAGATGCGTTTCCTTTAGAAAAAATATTTGTTGCAGATTGGGATGCAAGTCAATACCATAAACTCACAAAAATTGTCTTTATTGATCAGGACGAAGAAGTCGTTGATATTTCACTAGTGTGCTCTTGCTCTATTACTATTCTTGAGCAGACTAGCAATGAGATTACACTTGTAATAAGTAGAGGCAATGTCCAGTCTAAAATTGTTTACATGCTAAGACCTAAAGTTCATTTTTTATATGCAAATGATACATTACATAAAATCGCCATCTGTACTGGTGCAACTCACGGTAATACCAATTACTTCCTAGCCTTACTAGAAAGTAATCCTATTAATTTATTTTACGAAGACTTATCTAAATTAATAGGTAGAGTTATTTTTAAATTCAACACTGATAACCTAGTGACAATTTCATTGCAACAAATAATTACACACAGTTGGCCTTCAGTAGTAAATATTAATAAAGAGTATTATACAAAGGACGATATTGCACATAATATATCAAAAAAGGACCAACGTTTATCAATCCATGATTATATCATCGATTTAGCAAAAAAAGAATTTGACGCTGTTTTCTACGATCATGGATCTTTAGAGATAGCGGATGTTATCGGTTTTAAAAATGGCAAAGTTCAGTTCTATCATTGCAAAAAGCAAAATGGTTCTTCGCCAAACTGTAATATAGATGATATATATGAAGTGTGTGGACAAGCGGTTAAATCAGTCAATTGGGCACATAAGAAATTATTAATTAAGCAAATATATGAGCGTGCAGAAGAAAATAATAGCCATATTAAAATTAAGAAAGGTACACTTCAACAAATTAAAGATATATTAGATTCTTTTGATAATCCTATAATACCAGTCGAAATAACTATAGTGCAACCTGGCTTGAAAACAAAGAAACTTTCTAAACAACAAAATGCAGCATTTAATAGAATAAAAATTTTATTATCAGGAGCAGAATCTT